AATATATATATATATATATATATATAACTTTAATACTTCTCTTTTTTCTATATTTTAAAAAAAAAAGTTCAAATAATTAATTATATTATCTGAATATAAAAATAATTTTATGAACAAATGTATTTTTAGCATACATAAAAATTAGAGTAACATAAGTATCATTCTAGTTTGTATACTAATTTAAGAAATGATTAAAAAAATAAAATTTAAAAAAAATATGTAAAAAAAATTATTGCATTTATTATAATTATAAATATAGTTATAGATATTCCGCAAGACAGAAAACTAGTATAGCTCCATTTATTATTGTTATTATCTCTCTTACGAGTCAATTACATATATAAGTATACATAGTTTAATCACATAATTTTAAGTTTTTTTCTTATAAAATTTAATAAGTTTATTACACATAACAAAATCTAATTAAATGATAATATAAAATAAATTTAAACTATTAGTGAATAAATTATTTTCTCTTACTATATTAACACATACTATTCCCTTTAAAACAATACTGCTTTGATTATAATATTTTTCTTAAATGGTTATAAAAAAATATTTTTCTTAAATTTAAATAAAATTAAATATTATTTTTACATTGACTTTATTCATTTATATAAAGAAAAAAAATTAAAAAAATCATTTATATAATTAAATAATTATATATATAAAAATATTTATTCCTGGCTAAAATGTAATTTTTGTAAAAAAAAATTAAAATCAAAATGCTTAGTTTTTAATATTTTAAATGATTTCTAGTTTCTTACATATTTTTGAGTTTTTATATAAAAACAATTATATATGTTATTTTATATTTTTGAATTTCTTTTAATTATATTAATTTACATTTTTGTGTGTATTTTGAAGATTATATATAAATTAATTCTGCATATTTCCTATATAGTTTAAAAGCTTTATTATAATTATAAAAAAATATACTTATTGGAGTGGTCTGATTGGCGGACAGAATTCTGTCATGACAAAGAGGTAAAAAAACACGGCGTGTCAGTGAATAACGAGGAAGCAAGTTTGAAAAGATTGATCATTCATTACTCATTAGTCTGGACTCACGGGCCCACCCATCCAATTTCTATAACTTTATATTATCAGCCATATATTTTTTTATTATATTTTTAATGAAGTAATGTTACATTATAATATAAATTTTACATAATAATTTATATAGAATTATTTTTATATTTTTACTTTTTTTCATCACTTTATTTATTATAAAAAAAATATTATTAATGATCTATAATATCTGTTAACATTACGTATGTTATTTATTTTGAAGGAAACTAAAAAAATATATTATTGTCATGTATACTAAAAACTATTTATCTAAAAATGTAAGTATTAAATATTTTTGTTTTTTATATAATAAGTATAT